TTCAAAAGCATCAATTCTTCGGCGGTCAGCTTTCTTTATGGTCCAACTCTCACGTCCATATATCACTACACGAAAAGCCATAGCTTTGACTATGCGGACTTTTGTTGGCAAGGTGATGTCTCTGCTTTTAAAGATGCTGTCAAGGTTTGTCATCGCTTTCCTCCCAAGAAGCAGGTGTCTTTTAATTTCGAGGCTGCTGTCTCCATCTGCAGTGATCATGGAGCCCAAGAAAGTAAAATCTGTCACTGTCTCCATATCTTCCCCTTCTATTTGCCAGGAGGTGAGGGACCAGTGGCCATGATCTTAATTTTTTTGATGTTGAGTTTCAGACCGTTTTTTGCACTCTCCTCTTTCACTCTCATTACAAGGTTCCTTAATTCCTCTTCACTTTCTGCCATCAGAGTGGTATCATCTGCATATCTGAGGTTGTTGATATTTCTTCCGGCAATCTTAATTCCGGCTTGGGATTCCTCCAGTCCAGCCTTTCGCATGATGTATTCTGCATATAAGTTAAATAAGCAAGGAGACAATATACAGCCTTGTCGTACTCCTTTCCCAATTTGAACCAATCAGTTGTTCCATATCCAGTTCTAACTGTTGCTTCCTGTCCCACATATAGGTTTCTCAGGAGATAGATAAGGTGGTCAGGCACTCCCATTTCTTTAAGGACTTGCCATAGTTTGCTCTGGTCCACACAGTCAAAGGTTTTTGCATAATCAATGAAGCAGAAGTAGATGTTTTTCTGGAACTCTGTGGCTTTCTCTATAATCCAGCGCATGTTAGCAATTTGGTCTCTGGTTCCTCTGCCCCTTCAGAATCCATACTTAAGTATTTTTAATTGCATAAGTATTAAAATGTGTGTTTTAACCAGCAACTTTATATATTGTATTTCGTGTAGAATATTTTTTTTATGATTACCCCATCCCTGATAAACACTGGTTCGCACTTACCACAAAACAAAAACAAAACCTACTGGGAGACAGGGTAGAGAAGATCTTTAATTTTTTTTTTAAAAAAATGTAAATAAAGATAAAACATTTTAACCAAAATCTACGCTTTCTGTTGCTGTTTCAGCAATGCAATTAGAGTGTAAGACAGAGCTGCAAACCCATTTTAATCTCTTAGGATTCAGCATTGGCGTGGTGGAATACTCTTGTGTATCGTTCAAACTTACCAAAGATTTTATTTGGCAAAGTCAATAAGCCAACATAATCTGAGCTGTCCCCAAAGGAAATCTGTGTGTGGTACCTGAAATAAAGGTTAACTACCTCTGAAACTGCAATTTTAGAAAAGACTTAAATCTAAAGCAAATTAAACAGCTGCAATGTAATGAAACCACAGCCAGTTACCATGCTTCTTCGGGATTCTAGGATTTGTAGTCCAACCAAATAACATTTCAAGCTATGATATATAGTATATACGTTTTGTCTAATATCTAGTTCTTTATTGATTAAACCCATTTAGCTGCCTGAATCTGAACCTAATAATCAGATCCTGCTTAAGCTTGTGTTTCCTTCGTAATTGACTCTTGCATATTGATTAAGTTGTTGATGTGTCCCAGTATTTCTCAGTGGTAATGCAGTTGAGCATGGGCCTCCTTTCCATGCAGCCCCCCCCTTCTCTCAGCACTCACTGTACTGCTGTCACCACACTTGCTTTAATGGATAAAGCTGTCATCCCTAAAGCTAGAATGTCTTGGAGGCACAAAGACGAAATTAACTGTTCAATAATTTATGGGACATGGGGAAAAAACTTTACCCAACAACTTCAATTGATTGCAGTAAGTGTTTTGACTGCACTTGCCTATTTTGCATAAAGTCAGCTCCTTTTGAGAGCCTGGATTTTTTTTCCTACTGAACAAAAGCCCCATGGCTGCTTTCACACTAAAAGTTGAAATGAGCCTTTTGCTCACTCTGAGGGATTTTTTTCCCTAGGACACAAGGGCAGCTTAATTCCACTTTAAGTCCATGACTCTGTGAGATAGATGTGCTCTGTGGAACAAATTTGCTTACAAAAAGACAGAACCAAATAAAATCTGTCCAAGTGAAGCATACGATTCAGTCCAGAGCTTGGAAAAGTTACTTCTTGGACTGCACATAGAGCAGTGGTTCTCAATCTTGGGTCCTCAGGTGTTCTTGGACTACAACTCCCACTGATCTAGAGCATTTTGGGAACGGTGATGCATAACAGTACTATTTCCAAGCTCTTGACTAGACTTCTAAATCATTATTGGATAGAGTTGCAAAGACAAGGGATGACTGGCTAGGTGGAATAATCAGGGCAGGTCCTAATTTGGGGTAGATTGAGTCAGGTGTGTTAGGCAGATACTTGTGGGCAGCCCCAGATTAGGTCCTTACAAAGTGTAAAAATGCATTTAATTACAAAGCCCCTGGTCTCCACTTTGTGGCCAGAGAGGAAAAGGGAACTGTCAGGGTAAGACCCCAAATGCTAAACCAGGGCCATCAGTTTCTCTTCTGATGGTGGATTCCAAGTTCCAGCTAGCACAGCTAATGGCATGGAATGCAAAGAGCTGCACTGCGACAACAGCTGCTAAGCCATGGTAGAAAACTGATATTGCAAAAAACCAGCCAGGAACAGCAATGTGCGAGGAGGACAGCCCAACCAAATTCACTCGTTCCACCCGACAAGAGGGGACTGATGCAGTAAGCAACAAAAAAAGCCACCGGAACCACATTCCAGTAACTGTTCCAGTCAGAAAATTTATATTGCACAAAATAGTCTGGAACAGTGATGTTCACGTGTTTCATCATTTGAGAGGGGAATGATGTAACAAGTTACAAAACATCCTCAGGAAGCACATTCCAGTTAGGGTTGCCAGATACATGGGTACCAAAAGGAGGACATAGGAAGTCAAAAAATAGGACAGAGGAGGATGTATTGAATGTTTCATTTGAATCATTCTGGATTAAATCCGCAATCAATACAATTTTATTACAATAGGTAAAGGTAAAGGTTCCCCTTGACATTTAGTCCAGTCGTGTTCAACTCTAGCGCTCGGTGCTCATCTCCATTTCCAAGCCATAGAGCCAGTGTTTTGTCTGAAGACATTTTCCGTGGTCATGTGGCCAGCGTGACTAGACACAGAATGCCATTACCTTCCCACCGAGGTGGTACCTATTTATCTACTCGCATTTTTACATGATTTTGAACTTCTAGATTGGCAGGAGCTGGGACAAGCAACGGGAGCTCACTCTATTTATTCATTTTATTGCAATAGCTGCCAATAAATGTCTCTTAGTGAACCGACCAAGAAACAGTCATGTTAAAAAATAAAAATAAATTGAGGCTTTTTTTCGAAATACCAAAAACATTAGTTAAACAGCCAATTGTACAATTATTACCTTATAATCTTTATTAATTACATAACATATTGTGGCAGCTGCTGTTGTTGCTCCTTCACTTGCACCAATGTGAGCTATGCGAGAAGGTTCCCCTTTCTTTCTTTGCATCAGTGACGGCAACTGCTGCCTCTTCTCCCTCTCCCTCTTTCCTGCCCTTCTCCGGCTCCCACTCTCTCTCAAATCTCTCATTTTGTTTTGCCCATTCCCTCTCACCTCCAGAAGCAAAGGCTCTATGTGGACGTAGCTGATTTACAGCCCAAAGTGGTTTCTTAGATTGTACTCCATCTGAGACTGCTTTCCACCTTCCACCTCTCCCCCTCCCATCCAAAATTATAACATAAAATATTACAAAAGCCAGATATTTTAAAGGTTTTTAGCTTTGCCTGCCGGACGGAGAACATTAGGCTAAAAAGGAGGACATGTCCTCCTTTTGCCGGACATCTGGCAACCCTAATTCCAGTACCCACTGCAGTTAAGAAACAAACATTATCATCATTATTAAGCAAAACAGCTCAGACTAGCAATTTCCAAGTAGGACAGCATGCCAAAATTCACTCATCCTATTGCAATAGGAGGGCTAGATGCAACCAGCCACAATATAGCCCCAGGAACCACATTCCAGGGCCTATCCTGGGTCTAAGTTTCATATTTTCAAAGGGGCCCATGAATGGCAGTTTCTGAGCTGGTGACAGTAACCAGTTCACAGGTCACTTGTGACTAGGTGAGAATAATACAGCAAATCACCAACCTTCCACCAGAACCACAGCCCCCACACAGAAACAGATTGTGGCTATATGCTTTCTGCCAGCCTTCTCGGGCCTATCACCTTGGCCTAGCCTGGAGAAGAGAAGAGTGAGGGGACACACACTGTTGTTCTGTGCCTTCAATCTGTTTAGTGCTTTGTTTCTTTTGTCTCCTGTGTTGGGTTATTTTTGTTGAGCTGTCCTAATCTGAAATTGCTGTTCCAGGCTTTTCCTCCCCACAGTATTGGTGTTCTGCCCAGAATGGGTACTGGAATAATGTTTCTGGAGGTGTTTTGTGACTGGTTGCATGAGTTCCCTCTAGTGCAACCGGGGGATGAATTTCATCATGGTGTCCTACTTGGAAGTTACTGTTCCAGGCTCCCCCCCCCCCATATCAATATTCTGCCTGGAACAAGTCCTAGAATGTTGTTCCTAGGGGTGTTTTGTGGCTGGTTGCACAAAGCATTTATTGTGTTCCATTCAGTTAGGGTACTGGGCAACAAAGGGTTAATTAAAAGTAATATTCATTGGATTTCAGGACTAAAATATTGTTCTGATGTTTCTCCATTACATCCCACTATTTTTGGTAACAATATTTATTAAGAAGTCCTAGTTCCAGCCGATTCCATTCCATATTTTACCTAGTCCCTTTTTTCTCCTTTGTCCCAATGGGTATCAGTGCCAACACCTCAAAAGATTACTGTATTATACAGGGATCTGAGGTTGGGGTGCCTCTCCCCATCCATCTTGACTTGTGAGATATGTGAAGCTTTCAGGCTAGGACCAAGTTTTGAGGAACAAAAGGGTATCAATAAGTAGGGGGAAGAAAACAAAATGAAAAGAACTCAATAATGAAACTCAACCAATCATTTCAATTTTCTTTTATCCCTTCTAGGTACTGATGGAAACACTTGGAAGATTCTCCCCAAATGGGAACACAAGAGATTCAGCTTTTCCTGCCTTTATAAGCTATGTTTTCCTTTTGTCGAGAGGCTTATTCTCGCTGATGAGATAAGAATGGGAAGATGCATTGATTTCTGAGCACTCTCTCTCTCTCTCTCTCTCTCATTTTCCCTCTGTAACGCATGGGAAATGAATACATACCTCTCCAGAGTCTGTTGACCCTTCACAGCTTTTGTGTGTGTGTGTGTGTGTATTTTTGTGTGTGTGTCTGTTTGTGTGTGTGTGTGTGTGTG